GGGGGGGGGGGGATTAGTGCTTGATTCTGCTGGGATTTTTTGAAAAGCCTATGAATGCATCTCAGAATATTTTGCCTGGAGAAGAAAGGGCAAGCATTTACCTCTTGGCTTTCATCCCTGTGGCACTTATAAAATAAGGCCACAGATTCTTTGATACTCCTCTCATCAAGCAGTGGGGTCCGTGTTCTCTTCTCTTGAAACAAAGGCAGCTTGTAACTATTCTTCAGTTGGCAGAGTAAGCCATGTGACCCCTGAGACTAGTCTGTGAGAAACCATGGAACTTCAACCTTGATCACTGGGACACTCACTCTTGGAGCCTTGAGCCATAATGTAAGAAGACTGATAGGAGCTATGAAGGACTAGTTACTGGATTTTATGAAACAGTATGACTGGAGACCAAACTTAAACTAAGGGTTAAAGCAGATCTGCTCTAAGAAGGGATCATTTAACTTGAGACCTAAAGGATAGGTGGGAGTTGGCCAGCTAAGAGTGGATGGAATTGAAATCCTGGGAGAGGGAAGAGCATATGCAAAGGCCCTGAGGCAAAAACGAGGATAGTGCGTTTGAGGTAACCAAATAAGATCAGTGTGGTTGGAATACCAAGACGAGAGAGAGGGTGGGGATGGATGAACCTCAGGAGACAGGAAGGCGCCCAATTATGGGGTATCTGGCAGGACGTGTTATAAGGATTTTGGAATTTATTCTAGGTATAATGGGAAGCTCTCGGAAGATTTCCAGGTGGTTGCAGTGGAGAAAGGAGGGGGTGGGGAAGAACGGAAGTGAAAAGACCAAGTGGAGCATATTGTGGTCATCGAGGTGAGAGATGAGGATGCTTCTGCACATGTGAATTTTTCCATTCCTGCAGGTAAAGTGTGTGTCTAGGAGGCTATTTGCAATTACTTTGATTTTTTTTTAATGAATATTAGTTCAGTAGAACAATAAATTAAAAAAATAGTTTCCTAGAGGCCTTTTGCTTTACCCATCTTGTCCTGTTTATAAAGCTAATCAAACTTAAGAGGTCCTTGATTAATGCTTAATTGAGTGAAATACTGCCCTTAAGCAATCAGTCCCATTCACAACTTTGTTGATTAAATTTTTGTAAACAATTTAAGCTGTGTTTTCAATAATTTAATATGTTGAATTTAAAAAAAAATTCTATATGTCCAATTTAACACTCAGAACCTTCACTCCTATAAATATAATAAATTGAATTTATAAATATAGAAAACTCAGGTAGTGTTAAATACTCTAGTATTCTGTTAACTTAGCCAAATTCTCTTATATCTTTCAACTCAAAATCATAAGTATAAAATAATTATTTAATTACACCTTTTATATGAAAATGCCAAGGATAATCTGGTAGGTACTCTGATATGCCATATGAAAAATATAATTGCTTTAAATTGAAAATCATGTAGATGATTGCAATGATTGCAAATTTATTCCTAATTTTTGCATATGAGTATTAATATTCTATGCATGATTTACAGCTTCCTATCTATGTTTAATTATGACTTTTCTGAGGCTTACCCACTAGGGTAAATATAGTGTTATCTTAAGCAAATTGAGATTACTGGGCCAATTATTGATGGCCTCTATTGGATCACCATCCCAGCAGCAGGGATTGCTTATTGGTCAAAAAGGACTTGAGTCGTAGGCCTGTGCACTTAAAGGGTGATTCCTCTCCATTGTGACTGGGTACTTGAATCTCTAACTTAAGTGTTGCAATGACAACAGGGGTCTTGAAGTTTACTTCTTTTAGAAAGGGTTGGTGTCTTCTATGTTCTAATTATACCCTCGAGTAATTCTTCTGAGTGACTTATGTAGACAGAAGCCAGAACCTCCACCGAGGATGTAGCCAACATTCCTCATGGCAAGGCTAGATTTTTTCATTTCTTTAGTGTAGGACACTTATTACCCTCTCCTCTGGCACTAGTCCATCAATCCCTTAGATGTTTCTATAATTCTTCCCTGTGACTGTGAATGGAATTTTACCTCCCTACTAAGGTTGTGGCTTCTGCAATTTCTTCCTGCATAACTGAACTCTGAATTTTCATGGTCTTCCTGATGCCTAATTGGATTGTGTTCCTGCCAAGCCCTCATTCAGTTCTGAGGCACCTCATGAGGTCACGAGGCTGACAGCCTGGACTGGAGTGGTGGTGGAAGAGCTGAAGGGATCGGAGAGAGATTTTGGCAGAACTAACAGGATTTGTTGATGGATTTGGATGGGGGGGAGAGTGAGGGAGAGAGGTTTCAAGGATGACTTCCTGTCTTCAACTTGAGCAGCTTAGAGAATGGAGATTTTATTTCCTGAGGAGGGCTGCTTAGAGAAGGAGCACAGACCGAGGCAATTATAGTTCCACATTCACAGGACACTCAGTATCTGCTCAGCTTTTCACAGGGCCAAGAAGCTCCCCCCGCCCCCACCCCATAACTAAGATGAGGAGCCACATCTGAATGACAGTGGCAGTGACTGCACTTGTACTCTGATTTCTGGAACCTGTCCCGTGAAGTTCAGTAGTGGCTATGCCCCAGCTGGGAAGACAGAGTTGTTCCAAGTTCTCTCTTGTCAGTCCGTTCCTCTTTAGGCTTGTTTCTGAGCCTATGTGACCTCATCTATCCACCCACCCATCCATCCATTCAACAAATAGTTTCCAGTGGCTACTCTGTACCAGGTACTTTCTAGGCACTGAGGGTAGAGCAGTGAATTAAGTATTAAAAAATACCTACCCTCATGAAGCTTACATCCTAATTGCAAGAAGACAGATAAACACAAGTAAGTATATATGTAGTACAATACAAGTTGATAAGTACTATGGAGTTAAAAAGAAAAAACAAGTGGGGTAGGAGGTTGAGGAATTGTGGGGGGAGAGAGGTGCTATATAATACAGGTTGTGCAGGGAAGTGTACCCCTGTCTAAAAAGGACAACACTCACCACCTCAGTTCCAGTTAAAGGCTATCTTGTGTGGAAA